TTTTCTTCAGACAAAAGAGCAATATAAAGTTGAAAATGTAGGACTACATAAAGAAAGAGTGCTAGAAAAGGAATTAATTAAAATAAAATATAACATTTTGATTTTCTTATTCTTAGTCTGAAAGATAATTGCTTAAATTCACATTAATAGCTATTTATTGGGTGATAAAGTAGAAAGAAGTGAAATAAATGATAAAAATGTCTCAAGGCACAAGAAAGAGGAATTGAGAATATTTCACTATAAGGAACCTACACTACATGTGACGCTATATCATATTATTTGAAAGTAAACTTACAGAATTTGCTAAATATATTTTGAACACTAGGATAAAGAGCCATTAATTTTCAACCCTGTAGATGAAACCCTGTGAGGCGGGGGAAAAAGGAAATATAAATGTTCAGGTAAAAGCAGAGATGCCACTCCCCCAAAGAAGAGGGGAAAAGAAAGCAACAAGGAAAGCGAGAAAGGAGCCTTACTTACGTGGTACATGAGAAAGCCACTTCAACGATAAGGACTTAGAGCAAAAGTAAAGAGATGCAGAAAGATGTGCCCTGTTAACACTATTCAGAAGGAATCTTGAGTAGTTATATTAATTTCAGGAAAACAGACTTGAGAACAAGAAAGACTGTCAGAGACAAAAAGGGTAGCTATCTTTCTTCACGAATACATAGCAATCCTAACTGCGTATGCACCTAACAATATAATGTGACAATGAATGAGACCAGCTCTGCTCTAGTACTTAAACGAGATGAGTGAAGGTCCTGCAGTCGTGTCTGACTCCTTCTGCCACCATGGACTATACAGTCCGTGGGTGCCTCCAGGCCAGACTAGCAGAGTGGGTAACCTTTCCCCTCTCCAGGGCATCTTCCCAATCCAGGCATCGAACCCCAGGTCTCCTGCAGGCAGGTGAATTCTCTACTGCCTGAGCCACCTGAAGGCAGGTTCTTTGCCAGCAGGGCCACAGGGAAGCCCAGGAATACTGGAGTGGCTGCGCTCTCCCTTCTCCAGCGAGCTATCCAGGAAGCCCACTGAAACAAGGTGAAGGTGATAAAGGCGTCACAGGAAAAGAAACCACATATCATAATTCTTCACAGACCTAGACACCAAAATGCATACCAAATTGAACCCAGCAGCATGTATAAGGATAGTACATTCAGTCAAGCGCATTTTATACCAAGCAACTCTCTGTTCAACGGCAGTTAATGTAATTCACCAGCAGCAGAACAAACACAAACAAACACATGTGATCACATCGACAGCTGCGTGAAAGCAGTAGACAAAATAAAACCTCCGTGAAACCTGCAGGGTAAAACTTGGTGGAATTTTAAAATTAAAAGACACCTCCCTTCTTCTAATAAGAGAGTTTATAAACAACCTATGCCTAAATTATACTACATGGTAAGAGATTGAATTCCTTTTCTCTAATATCAGGAGAAATGCAGGCATGTCCTCTCTCATTGCTTATATTCAGCATCACACTGGAAATTCTAGCTAGTGCAAAAAGATAAGAAATAAAGTTATAAAAATTGGAAATAAAAAAATTGGCCTTATTCATAATTCATAGTCAATTAATTCAAATTCAATAATTAGAATTCAAATTTATGCATGATTCAAATTCAAATTTATTCACACTTCAATTTCAAATTTATTCATAATTCAAAACTATATTGAAATCCTCTGAAAATTTAAAGCAAAAGCAACCTTCTAAGGTATGGGCTGCATATAGTTAATTCCTTCCAAATGGTATAGCATAGAAATGACAGGGGTAACTTTAGAGTAGAGAAACATGACCAACTCTGTGTTAGCCAGGAATCAAGGTCACCATCAGCATGCACCTTTAATGAGATATGGAGAAAATGGCATTTTATCTCTATGATCTTCCTCCTTCAAACATATGAAAGTGAAAGAATGAAAGTGAAGTCGCTCAGTCGTGTCCGACTCTTTGCGACCCCGTGGACTGTAGCCCACCAGGCTCCTCCCTCCATGGGATTCTACAGGCAAGAACACTGGAGTAGACTGCCATTTCCTTCTCCAGGGGATCTTCCCAACTCAGGGATTGAACCCAGGTCTCCCGCATTTCAGGCAGACGCTTTAACCTCAACCACCAGGGAAGCCCTCAAACATATAATCTCAGTTTAATCATGAGAACACCATCAGACAAATCACAAGCCATGGGCATTTAGTAAACACCTGATCAATTTTCTTCAAAACTGTCAAAATCATCAAAAGCAAGGAAAGTCTGAGAAGCTACCAGTCTATCAGAGCTTCGGAAGACACAGTGACTAACTGCAGTGTGGCATCTCATGAAATTCTGAAACAGATAAATGACGTAATGTGAAATTTAATGGAATCTGAATAATGTATGTATTTTGATGTACAATAAGTCACTAACTCGTGTCCAACTCCTCGAAACCCCATGGACTGTAGCCCGCCAGGCTCCTCTATCCATGGGATTCTCCAGGCAAGAACACTGGAGTAGGTTGCTATTTCCTTCTCCAGGGGATCTTCCTGACTCAGGGATCGAACCAGGGTCTCCTGCACTGCAGGCAGATTTTTTACCAACCGAGCTACCAGGGAAACCCTAGATATACGTCTTTCCCCTCCCTCTTGAGCCTCCCTTCCACCCCCTCCACCCCACCCCACCTCTCTAGGTTGTCACAGAGCCCCGGATTGAGCTCTCGGTGTTATATAGAAACTGGCAACTAAGATTTTGCTTTTAATTGAACTATCTGTTCTATCTCTGCCATCCCATTAAGGAGTTGCATAATGAAATTTTATCATTACCTTTTTATCATTGCAGTTAGCCTTCCTATGCCTAAATGACTCCCTTACTGTAAATTAGACATTTTGGAAGATGTTATCATCCTTTCTATTCTCCAGATTTCTACTTAGCACTGGTGGTCATCACATTATCTTCAAAAACAATTATTTAATCAGAGCATAATGCAATTTATTACTTTCTTATATGAAATAAGCTGATACCCTAATGATCATTATGATTCAAAACAACTTCGAAAAGCTACTTAATTTGCAGCAAAGTCTGGTTAAAGCTCTGTGAGACTATGGTTTTTCAGCTAGTAACTTTGTGCTACATGTCCAATGAAGGATGGATCTCCATATGTGTTGAATACACTAGAAAGGATTTGTTCATTAACCACAAAGATGTGCAGAAATGCCATTATTAGGTCTGAGAATGGTTTGAGTCTCTGAGAGAATATACTTTTCATGTTTATTGCATAGTTTCACCTTCTGGAAAATTTAATATTCAAGCAGTGTAAGCCTAAATAGCTCAGCACAGCTGGTGTGGTGTCTTGTTATTTCTCTTTTCCTCTTATCTGTGCAATTTTAATAATTGGGAGCCTAAAAATGATATGGCAAATAAGTGAAATCATTCAAGGAATTCAGATATTTGGCATATAGTCAGTGAGAAGCTTAAATCAATTTTCTTAAACTGTCAGCCATGATGTATGTCTAAATGGAGGGCTAGAATTTAGTCAGATTCATTGCTTATTGTTTGCTTCTGTAATTATGAAATATGAAAGTTAGTAGGTTTTTTTAAATGTCTCTTTTTCAGTTTGAATGGGCTTGGCAAGTTTCAACTGTTATTCTATTTAATCATAAAAATAATATTCTCACTTTCTTTTAGAGAAATATACCATTTTAAAATGTTTTACTCTTTTGGGTGGGGGAAAAAGCAGCAAGTTATGTTACATTGCACCATTCTACATTAACCTCTGAGCCTAAGGAGTATGTTTTTTTTTAACATTGTTGGTTCAATTAAATGCTATGTCTGTGAAGCCTCAGATTCTAAAGATGAATGTCAGAACATAAACTTTCCTTATGCTTTCTTTTCTGTATTTATGCTGTACCAGTGATTTGTTTAGATTGCTATTCTCTTTTGAGTCCAGCTGCTTTTTTGTGTGATAAAGAATTAAAACTTTTGTTTTTATCTATAGCAATTTGTCTACAAAAATGTTGAACACATTGTGGAAAATGGAAAGATCTTTTTTGCACAAATCGCATTCAAGGTTAATGCTGCATATTTCTATTCACTGCTTTCTAATTCTAAAGTAAAGATGTCTCTTAGAATATAGTTTCCAAAGATTACAAGTTTATATAAAATTGCTGAATTTTACACAAGAATTTTCTCCTTGAGTTGTATAGGAAAACGAGGACATAGTTCATTTTTGTTGTCGACAGCAATAGTATATTGTTTGGATAATTGTTATTTGGGGTTATTGTAATTTAAAATTTAGATGAGCACATTAGCATAATTTTGAAGATGTGGCACATATCATCATATTTTTATCCTCACACTGAAAATGACTTCATCCAGTCAGTCCACTGGGGTATAAATTCAAGTAGTTGAAATATAGCAACTTAGAATGACATTATATCATGGGCATGCATCCAAATGGAATCTTAAACAAAGGTAATCTGTGATTTGACTTTCTCCTTCATTTCTGCACCATACAAGTCCACATCACTAAAGGACAAGGCTCCAATTCTTTTCAATTTCTAAGCTGTTTATATACTTGAGTTATTTTTTTAAGTTTTAAAAGTGTTTCATAGCTATTTATTGAGGGTGAGATGTTTTTAAAAGTGCAAAACTAATTTTGTGAAAAAAAATTCTATTACATTCTATCTGCTGAGTCAATTTTTCCTGCCCCACCTGACTACTTCTGACAGTTTACCACATTTCTTCAACCATTCTCTGGAAACACTTTGTTAAAGTGTATGTTAACCACAACCTTTTCACCTCTTCTCTTAACTTATTAGAACAATTTTATGTTTGCTTTCTGAAGATTAATTAACTATGACATTTCTCTCCTGTCTAGAACTACACAATCTGGAGTCAGTTAAGACTGTCCATTTTTCCATTTCACATGTCTCTTTTTTAAGAAAGTTTAATTTTATGTTGGACTACAGCCAATTAACAATGCTGTGTTGGTCTCAGGGGGCCAGCGCAAGGACTCGGCCACACACACACGGAAGCTTACGGTGAACCGTGTCGGAGCCGTGATCTCTGACGAAGAAGCGGTAGCTTCGCGACCAGGGGCCGGGCTTGATGAGTCAGGACCCTCTGTGCGGCAGTTTATCAAAGGGAAGGAGGAGAGAAAGCTTCCGGCCCAGACGTCAGCAGGGCGCGGGGCGCGCCCCCTGCTGGTCTTTAGCGGATGCTTCATGTCGGTGAGAAAGCGGCTCCTCAGGTAAGAGACCCCCAAGGCTGGCGGGTGCCTCCAGGCCCCGCTCCCACGCTGTGCGTTTTGGAGACAGAATGACTCGAGGCGTGTCGTCCCCCAGCCATAAAACTGTCGATATGAATACTAGTTTGTTGAGCTACTGTTAGCCCAAGGTTTGAGAAAAGAAAAAAAATGTTCGTCTCGGGGGCACCATTTGGAAGAAAGGCAAATTCCAAAGCAAACACATGGTTTCATTCACATAGCTTAGAAAAACAACTCCATGGAGAAGGCTTCTTTTAACTTTGCGTGGAGAAGGAAAACACTCGACACTTGTAGCCTGTTTCCTCCTGCCTTCAGGGAGGGATAAGAAGTGTGGGACACGCGCCCCGCCTCCTGCGTGTGGAGCCCCCTGGCCTCCGGCCTGTGGCCCCCCGGCCGAGCATCCGCCCTGCCCCAGACGCCCCCGCCTGCCCCACGCGCCCCGCCTCCTGCGTGTGGAGACCCCTGGCCTCCCGCCTGTGGCCCCTCCGCCGAGCATCCGCCCTGCCACAGACGGCCCC